ACTTGGTAATATTCGTATTGAAGAGAATGGTTGTGTCGCTATTCATATTGGTTCAAGGAAAAGTGATGCATTTGTACGTGGAATATGCGAATATTCATTGGACAAACATAAAATTCGATTATTTGTAAAGAAAAATACAACAGCATGCTATTGCTTCTTTGGTATAATATGAAAAGCAGAATCAATCCCGCAGAATGAAACTGACATGAAAATATCAACATATGGTTGGCGCAGTGATGACACAATAATCCCTTTTTACGCTGTCTCACGAACTTGTAAAGACTTTATGGATATAAGTTATCAAACTATGTTTGAAATTGAACTTTTACTTAATTGTGACAATCAAAAAATCATCTATATCAATCAACAAACCAAAAATACGCGAGAAATAAAAGTTGACGTTACAATATGTCCATTTCCTTGGCAATTGCTATTTTATCCATATGATGTCGAAGATTGTATTCAATTGATTTCTACAAGTCTGCAAGTATAAACATAGATGTTATAATTTATAATCAACAGCCGAAAAATATATCCAATCGAGAATATACAAATTAACAGTAGTATGTCACAGTTAAGAGTAAAACAATAAAGGTTCAAATTAGACAAGCAACAAATTATGGGATAACGGATTTAGTAGACGTTTTCACATTTTTGAAACTTTGATGAAAATAACATTAGCAATTTTCCTTTTGAAAAACTTGAATCTGTATTTTTTTGAACAGTACGTTATTTGTGTTCGTCTTTAAGAGATATAAGAAAAGAATTCAGATAAATTTTTGAAAGAATTCGTCAATTGTATCATATCTTGATAAAAAATGATAAAAATAAAAGTTAATAATACTTTTTCAGTGATTATTCCTCAAGAACTTTAATAATCGAACGGGTTTGGTCTTCTGTGCATTGAGCAAAACTGATCAAACAAGACACATAGTCTATATATGAAATCTCCAAGAGACTAACTGTTTTTGTTGCTAGGCTACTATCTTGTCTTTCTCATTTTGGCCGATAAATGTTGCACTACTGAAGATAAAACAATTTTGTGGCATTCACTAGAGAGAAAGTATATGCAGCGTGGCGCAGTAGTAGCGCGTTGAGCTCATAACTCGAAGGTCAGTAGATCGAGACTACTCGCCTCTGTATTTCATTTTTGCAATTTCTTCTTGAAATTGCACAATTAATTACAACTTTTCATGTGCTATACGAAAATATGATAAAAAGTGAAATCGAGTCTACCGAATTTACTCTGATTGAAAAAATGATTTAACTAGAAGTGTGATTGCCTTTTTTTCTTCTATAACCAATTACAAAAATTAGTAACAGCATAAAAATGTAAATAAAAACTATATAACATTAAGAAAAAATTTACGAAAATAATACAAATAAATGATTGAATCTAAAAGTATATCAACAAAATTATTCAATTGATCAAAATATATGATAATCAAAGCGTAATTGCTTTGTATGGGACATATGAACAATCAGAATTCGAAAATATAGATTTTATTTCATGAGAATATTCCTTTTGTAATTCTTACCAAAATCTCATGTGAACTTTAGCTGGTCGCATAAAAAACAGAACCGTTTATGTTTACTACCCAAAGTCTGTTACATCGGCAATTTTTTTTAAATTTTTATTTCTGCATGCGCACTTTTCTCTATTAACAGAACAGAAACAAAATATCGTCAACCTTCTTCTTTTCGTAAAAAGAAAGCACTTTTTTAAAATTCTCATGGCTTCTATAACTTCAAAACATCTTGCTTTACATGTCGTAAAGGTGCTGAACTATTTAAATGTGAACGGTATACACACACATTTTGTACAAAACATGTTGCTGAACACCAACAAACACTATACGATCAACTGGATGAAATTATAATCGAGCGTGATTGTCTTCAAGAAAAAAAATCATTGAAAATAAAGATCAAGGGTGTTGGTGTGAGTGCAGTTGTCGTTGTCAGTGCGGGTCTACCATACATTTATATCCACACCCATAGCTGAACCCAAACCTATACATCCACACCATCACCCCACACTCAAAAGCAGCATACTTGACATAATGAATTATTCTAAAAAAGTGATGACGTTATGATACCTTGGCATACATTGTTAACTGATATCAGACAAAAAGAATTCATAAAATTATTAATTTTTTCATCTCAGTATCTTCATTACCTATTTTATGTTGGTATTTGCTTATCTGATAAGCGAATGTTTTATTAAATATGTTACTAAATTCACAGATGTCTCGTTGCAAAAAAGTCAGCAAATCAGATATTTGGTTGAAAATATTGACTGATGCAGAATATGGGAAATTCACTGCACAGTCGAAGTCGAGAAAGCATGAAATGAAATATTCTTGGATTTAATGAGTAATCTACTTATTTATCTAATATGAGCAAAGTTAACGAATGTAGAGGCAAGAACAAATGTTTCTCCATCATCATAATAAGTATACAGGTGTCTTAACAGTAATACAGAAGGCAAAGAAAACGTTATATTTCAGTTGGCTCTATTAAATTACCATAGTTTATTCATTATCAAGGTAATTAAAAAGATGCAATTAATTCTCTGTTGTATCACTGTTAAACTTATTATTTTTCTTCTATTAATGCTGAATTTTGACCTATTCAATCCTAAGTTATATTTTTGCTTCTTTTTCATGACATAATCTTCGCACTTTCCAATACTTATTCATGCCGAAATGAAAATGCTATAGTTTCGACAGCTCTAAAAAAAGACTCCACGGTCACAAAGAATCAGCAATAAATTCTTAATGTAATAATAGTATTAGTGGTGCAACAAACACCTATTCGCCGCCCCCAATCACAAGTTTCTTGGTAATATAGAAATAATTATAAGCAAAGCAAAACCGAGAAAACATGTAAAAACTCTGTTTCCTCAACCGATCTTTCAATGTTAATGTGCATTTTTTTGTCTCTTTTGTCTGATCGACAGTGTTGTGGCTTGTTGATCTACAAGAATGCTGATGTGAATGTAGACTGCATAAGTATGAGTGTTCGAGGGCTTGGATATGGTTATGTGCATGTGCTGGTTATTTGTTTTAGAGTTGGATGTCTTGCAGAGCCGAAATAGGTTGAATAGCTTACAAGTGGACTGTAAAGACTGATTGGATTCCTTAACTTTATCCAAAAAGAGCCGACACAAAACTGGTTCCTACCGTATATCAATAAACAGACTACTTTTGAGAAAGAGTTTGTCAATGACGTTTCACAAAAGGATTGAATTGAGCTCCCTTAACTCTTGAGCTTCCTGACGCTATAATCATTTATTTGCTCCACGTGCACAGTACATGCTAATACTAATTAGCAAAGGAAACCTGTTTCAAAACTTTCCATGTAGTAATTTTCAAAAAAGAAATATAATTATGATAATATCTATGTCTTATTTAACTGGTTTTCTTTGATTAATACATGCTTCCTACACAAGAAGTGACATGTTTGATGTTTTCTTATTTAAAGCCATTGTTTAATGTCTTTGAAGGTAAAATATCGCTTAACTTTTAGTTGCCTTGGCAAAATGAAGAATTAGTGTTATCATTACTTGAAGAACTCATCCATTTGTCAGCTATAATCACAGATATGAAAAAAGTTGAGCAACATTCTTGATTTTGAAGTAAACTATATGTAGGATGTGTGTGTGGATTAGAAGGAGACTCACATGCACATCCATACCTCTATGATAATTGTATGCCTTACTGCTAGTAGGACAAGTGGAACAAACAGACTGTCATTGTCATTGATAATGAACTGTGACTAGCGTGTGTAGATAATAATTGCGATACAGCATCAGATTTTCCTATTATGACAGTTCTAAGATGAGTGCTTCAGTTGTCCGAAAAAATGATGTAAAACTATCACATATGGTTAGAAAGGAGTGAGTGTGTACATGTAAAGGTCAAAATGTGGGAAGATTTGATTGCAAACTGAACTTGCAAAATATTTGAATAGTCATCTTTAGATTGTGTCCTGTACTCTTTCGATCACATTTTTACATAAACATCGAATCTCGATTCATATTCGCTTGCCCAACTGTTTGTACAACTGAACTCACCGGTATCTGGTACAAAAAGTTGGTGTACCTAAAAGTTTTGAAATGGCTGTTTACACTCGTAGTTTTTCTTTCCAATAAAGAAAATAATAAAGATATTGTTTAATTGAAGCATGCATAGGTAATTGCTATCATGTGTGTTGGAAGAACTACGTACATCTATTCCCTTTTTCGTTGAGCACCTCTATTCAATTGCATTGAATCCCATAATATCGACGATGCAAAAGCTTTGCTTAAAAAAACACTAAGAGAGTAATTTATTTGATCTAAAAAACACTTCTCATCGACTTACAATTTTCAAATATCATGTGGATCACAGAGCTGTATGAAAATTGAAAGATGTCTACAGTTGATTCAAACCATACTGGATGATTTAAGGTCCAATTCAACTTCTCCACGATGCTCATAGACTTTGATGTAAACATTCTGCATTGTAAAATGTATTTCGTTCATCTCTACACAATTGTTCGCAAGATAAGCAAAGTGATGGAATGTGCCAGAATTTTTTAGCCTTCTCCATCAAAAACGTAATTATTTTTTCTTGACATAAGTCTTTATATCGATGGCACTTCATATTTGTTCATGTGCATATAATTGTGAGAGAAATAAAATATAAGCCTATTTGTCTATACATCAACACAAAATAATCTTTCTCGCTCCCTCTCACGTTCGATAACGTTTAATATGCACTTGCTGATATTCTTAATATCATTGTAGAATAATATAAAACGAATAAGAACATTTTTTTCTCTCTCATTCTATAACTATTCAAGAATAGACGCCATTACATTGTATTGATTTACGAATCGAACGTGCATAACTCGACATCGTAATGTATACGTAGATTTGTAGAGAAAAATTTGGAATTCACTTATTTTTGTTTAGAATGAATTCTACATTGATTTTCATCATACTGATAATCAATGTCATGCTGGTTTTCACTGCTACTCAGAAAAAATGTACTATACAAGGCAACGATGATTGCTTTCAACAGGCAACAATTACATGTTGCAACGGATATATTCTACAGGTACAAAATCAAACATCAGCAACTTGTGTTAAATGTCTTGCTCCAGGTGAGTCATGCTATCAAACGACTAAACAATGTTGTCCAGGATATCGATGTGGCTCAGGCGGTCCTGTTTATCAAGTAACAAGACCTGGAGATCGATGTATTTCAAATATGATTATCGGTTAGAAACTATCAAACACGCGAACTACACTTTTCTGAATGTAATTCATATTCAGTTTTGAAAAAAAACAAAGTCACTCTTTATGTTTTGCTTTCACTTACAGCGAAGCAAAAAAACATTTAAATGTCTATCTTATTGTTTCTATAATAAATCGATTTTCGAAATTTCCCACATGTTCTGAATAGAGAACCGATAAAAATGCAACGTGTGCATGGTTATCGGTGTTGGTAGTGGCGTAGCCAGGAATTTTCTAAGGGAGGTGCACACCAGCAGAAAAATAATTTTTTGTTTCTCGGAAAGATTTTTCATCCTTAGACCCCCCCCCCCCTTCAGATGTTTCTTGGCCAAGGGGGGTGACCGGGCCCTCCCTGGCTACGCCTCTTGGTGTGGGTGTTATTGTAAAGAGTAGATACCAACTCACACCCACACCTTGTATATAATTAGACCTATATCTCGACAAGATCTGAGCTCCAGATTCGAATATTCAAGTTTTAGCTAGCTACCATGCACGAAAGGTCAAAATTCAAGTAAAATGGCTATAGCTCTGGAGATAAAGCCTAAGAGCACTTACTCTTCGGGGAAAGTTTTTCATACCTCACTGCAACCAACCTGATGCACAGAGTCCAAACCAAAAAATGATATGTTACTTCGAACGGTTCCTTTGAAAGATTATAATTCCGTTTAAGTTCAGTGAAAACATGTTTTCTCAAAATCTACCCATTTTTTGAAGAGTTTCTAAAATAAAGGATTTTATTTCATTAAAATTCTTGCTTCAACTACAAGTCAATATCTATGTTTAGTATAAACAAGTTTTGTTAACATCATCATGTCTTGCATCAAGTACATGATATCCATTCACTTTAGCTAAAATTCGTCCTGAACGAAGACAACTTGCTTGAACTCAGCATTTTTCAATAAATATCAATCGAACATGTTTGTTCATATTGTACAACGAAATTACATGTATCTTATTCACTTTTACAATGCAATTCAATTCAATATAATGTTGAAAGATGATGCTAGTTCATTTACGTTTAAATCTCAATTATAAAATAAACCAAAAAAAATTCATTTTTTTTGCTTTTTAGTGGAAATATCAACAATATTCTATTTTGATGCGCAAAGAAAAAAAATCAATAGCATAAATGTTACAATGAGCATATTGGTCTAAACTATTCAATTTTTTATCAGTGATAAGTATTTGAAATGCATATAAAAATTTAGTCAAATAGCCTACGAAATTTTACTATCGAGAGAAAAATCGTGTTTCTCACTTCACACAAATGAAATATAAGATGAGGAATTTTATTAAGACCTTCTGACTCCCTCAAAAACTGATCTCAGCCCAGATACGTTCAAATCATATGACGTTTTCAGAATATGTTGAGGTTGTAGTGGAGAGGCGATGGCAAAATTCAGAGGTATCCACCAAACAAGAGTAAAAAATAGCTGATTTGGCATCCCAAAATTCTCTATTCAGTCTCATTCTATATATTTAAGTTTTCTCTAATCATAGAAGCGCTTTTTGATATAATAAAAACAAATCTTAATTTAAGAAAAAGATTCCGTCGTGCTTCGCATCTTGACATACTCTTTCAAATAAAAAAGAATTTTAATATATAGGAAGAGCTCAAAGAGAAAAATTTAGGTTGCACAATCGACAAAGCATACACTGAGAAAAAACGAAAAACATTTTTCATTTTTTCTGAAACATGCTTGTTCTCCAATAAAAATGATCAAAAATTTTGGGAAAAAAGAACCTAACAAAAAAAGTATGCAATTTCTGAAAGATCAGATCTTAATTTGGATGATTCTGACGAAAATCGACTTTTTTTTGAACTGGAGGATGCCTTAATCAATTTCTATGGATTGAAATCTTGTTCGTTTGATTATAGACTATTTTTAGATGAATAATTATAATCGATTTAAAAACGTGATTGATTCCTGTTGATTACAATCAGTATCAATAGATTTTAATTGATTTCGGAAAAAAAATTGATGATAATCAGTGAAAAAATGTTGACTCCGAATCAAATGTGTAAAATAATCTATTATACTCTTCCATTTAATCGGGATTTTCATCAACTATCTGGCATCAAATCGATGCAAATCATATACGTGTTGATTTTCATATTAAATTATTTTACATAGGTAGTATCACAAACAATTGTCTTCTGCCATATGTAGAAGGGACGTTTTAATGAAAGAACAAGCAAAACAACGATAATATAGGTATGAAAAAAACGATTTCTCCATAATATATGATCATGTGCTATTTTACGTATACGGATGAATGCACAAAAGCAGATTTATTTTACGATGCATACATAGGCAAAATAATGTTTTTTTTTTTCACAGAACAACGTTGATAGATTACGTTGTTTTTTAGTCGTAGAAATAGAAAATTTTCTACAAATACAATCAGCAAACGTGTTCCTTTCAAAAATATAGTCTCTTCAGAAGACTTTTCTTCTCATCTATACTTCGTAGATTTTTCTATCGTTAGGTAGTACTACTAAACTTATATCGTATTATCTCGCATCGTAGTAATTATTTTCTTAGTGAGAAAAACGTATCAAAATTCTGCATGAAACTGAATAGGAGTGACTTTGCTAAATTTTAAAATATCAGTAAAATATTTCAAACTGCTTCCTATATCAATTTAGATGACGAAACTTCTATTTGATAACTTGAAACATGATCGTTTTTTAACTGGTAATAAAACGTGAGAATTCAGTAGAAGTATTTTCAATGCATCTATAGCATTTGGGAATGATTATACGGAATTGATTGATTGTATTTTCATATTTGAAGAATATCATTTGCAACTAAATTATAAATCAGTTGAAAAAATTATTCCTACAATATATGAAAAAATTGTCAAATACTTAAGTAATACCATTCTATCATTTCATATTAAACATCAGGAAGCGCTAACTTAGACTTTATGTCATTGTCACTTAATTTCTATACACTTTTATCGAGCAAATGATATCAATGTTGTATAGCCATATCGCTTAACACTAGTCTAACAAAAAGAGGAAAATAATCACTTAAGCATGGGTTGTTTCCATGACCAATGATAGATTTTCATTGTGAGTTCTTTTGTATACATACAGCCTCGCTCATATTGAATTTATTTTTCTTACTTTAATTAATTCATTACTGATGCTGCATGAGAAGAGCATTGTTTATTATAAACTGAATGACAGATAAGATTCTTTTAAACAAACATCCACAATTTATTTTTCTACTAGGTACATTCTGTATTTTTGAACGAAGAATCCATTGTGAGCTGATGATAATGGTAAAATACGGTAGAGCAAGATATTTTGGAGACGTTAAAATGTGTTTCAAGCTGTAGTATATTAGAAAAACTGTTCCAGAAGCTGATATGAGTCTTCTTCCATGCAGTTTCATTTTTGTTGAAGTTCTACATGAATATGAATTACTTACACAAGTTAGAAACTACAACAGAATATGTGAAATATATTCTACAGATCGAATAATTGTATGATGTCATAAAACAATCAAGAAATAGAAGAAGTCAAAACTCGAAACCTAATTAATAAGTAAAGAGTTATGAAGTTGTTTGTAATAATATCTATTCACGTTTATATCGGTGATGATAATCATTATCATGATGTTGTTATTGTTGATTTTTATTAATTTGTTTTTGACTGTTGATGTTGAATTGATTGGTTGAAAACTGAGTAATTGAATAATATCTTCAAGAAAATATTCTCGAACATTAATTATTCTTCCTTTAATTTTTATTGTTGAACAATCAAAAACATACTGATTGAATAAAATTATATCAACTGTTGCTAGGCAATTGCAAAAAAATAAATAAATCATTTTGTATGTTAAATATTTTAACATGTTGAGCATTATAAACGAGTTTCGATGAAAGACAAACTTTAAGTTTATCATGACGTAAAGTATTCTTCTCAAAGTATAAGTAGAAGTCTAGAAACTTCTGTCTTATTTTTGGTCATTTTGTTCATATTTCTTTAAGTTATCAATTTTATTCCTATTATAGACTAATGGACAAAAAGTTTAAAAAGTGACGATGATTTAGATTTGGTTTGCCGATTATTATTGAGTGTGAATGTGGATTCTTGCTACACCAGATAAAACTGACACTGATCTTGTTTGATTTTCGCTATGATACCAGAACAAATGATCAACTGTCCATCTGAAATACAAGCTGAAACCGATGATTCGACTGAAACTGAAATCTTCGTGGCTTTCGGAACTTTTAATAAAAACTCAGCCGGTACGCAGATGTAGCCAATATAATCGTCTCGCAACACGTACGAGACGAGCACTACAGTCAGGCAGAAAGTAGACATCCTAATGGAGAAAGCTTGAAACTTCAGATAAAGTCTGAAGCCATGGGCTTAGCTGAGGTCCGTCATTCGACGCCAACTGAAATTAAGGCGAATATCATAAGTGAATGTTGGATCACCCCTCCCCCCCCACTCAGACCTGAAGCCCAAACTGTTTCAGATATCAGACCATGGTCGGAACGAAGTCTACAATCGTGATGTATGCTAAGACAGAGTTTGTGCGTAACAGAATCATACCCGGCTTCCACAAGTCTCGCAAAAACTTGGAGAAGTATCGCGTACAGTTGTGAAGGTCGTGCTGTACTCAAACCTTACTAGAGTGGTCGTTCTGAGACACGTTTGCTAAAAGCACTGTGGCCAGGTCAAAAGCTGCCACTGTAATTGAGAAGGCGATCGAACTCTGATTGTAGTCTCAAGGCGAGAAGTGAGATCTGGTAGAGTCTGTATTACATGTGACCAGTGCGATAGCCCTTGAGATCAGATCTGATGTCGATAATATAACCAACTATGCGACTGGGACTGAACGTCTCGTCTAAAGCTCAATACTCCCTGGGATTGCGAGATAAACGAAAACCACGGCAGGAATGGGGATCGTAATGAGAACAACAATATTTGCAGCGACGGGATGGGAACGTGAACAAAGATGGTGGTCGGGACTGCATCTTGGTCTTGATCTTTAACGAGAAACATGACCATAAGCATGGAACGCTTCCAGAACGAACGTCAAAAATCAATATCTTCTCTCATATATAGAAGAGACCTTTAATACTTGGCTCAACCAGAATCAACAGTATTGAACAGCATATACTATTGCTTGTGACGCCTTAGTATTTTATCTATCATGTACAACAATGGAGAAAAAGCAAGCGACGTCATGATATAGCGCACATTTTTCCAACCTTCGATTTACTCTTTCTCTCTCTCTCCATCGATTAAGCTTCTCGAGCGATGAGTGAGAGAACAAGCAAAACAACGGCAATATAGGCATGATAAAAAAGATATCTCAATAATATATGATCATGTACTATTTTACGTATATGGATGAATGCACACAAGCCAAACGTATTTTTTCGATGTCTATATAAGCAACATAATATTTTCATTCTTTTTGCATAGAACAACTTCGATACATTACATCATTATCCTGCACATCAACACAGAAGATTTCACAAGAATATAGTGAGCAAACTTAAGTCTTTTGAAATTGCATTTGTATCGGGCAGATTTTTCTATCGTTAAGTAGTACTATTAAGCTTGTGTAATATTGCCTTCATATCATAGTAATTATTTTCTTGTTGAAAACAAATCGTGAGAAGTTCTGTATGATATAAGTAGCAGATATTAATTATTGTAACGCCATTCTTTTCAGCATGCGCCTGAAGCAAGAATTGTCAATACGCTTTGTGAATTTCCACCGTAGAAAAAAATTATTCGGCATTGTATTATTTTACTATTCGAAAGGGTTTGATCTCGCTGAAAATTCGATATGATGCAGTATAGAAAACAAGTGCTTCAGGAAATTTTCGTGGAATGGCTTCTCTGCCACTGGGTTTTTGGCAATGAAAATGCTTAGGATACTGTCCTCAGAGCGAATAGTTTTAATTGCATCATATCTTTTTTTGTGATGTGAATAAAATTCAAATAGGTAGATATTGGAAAAAATGTATTTTCCCTAAAATGCTGCTATGGTTGGGATTATCGAGAAAAATTTTCAAGCTACAATGAAGAAGTGAGATAATTGAGTCATTTGATGCTTGTGTTATTCGAAATCCTATGATGAAGATAAAAATCATAGAAGATTCTACAAAAAAAAGAACATGCAATATCAACCATTTTTATAGGCCAATAGAGCTCATTTATATTTGTATGCTCTTGTTTCAAACTATAGGAGAAAACAAAAAACAAACATTTTCGTTGAGTTTTGAAATCTGTACTCTGTAAATGTGCATCATAACTCTTCGATCATAAGTCTACTGAGTTAAATAAATACTGGTTTTCATGATCTTTTCAACAGATCCTTGCTTTTTACCGTATTTTTCCAGTTTTTGGAAAAATAAAGGCAACGTGTCGTAGTATTTATTCCTGGAGCAAGGCTTTGCTTTGTTTAAACGCCACTAAACGAGACTATGCAAGACTAGACGCATTCTGAAGCAGTTCTACTTCAAATAATTTATGTGTTAATAGTAAGGGAAAGCATACAAGACAACGACTAGGTTTCTGAAAAATAAATTTTCTACGTAGAGTCTTTTCCAGGCTGTTCCAGTACCAGCAAAAAATGCGAGCTAGTATCAATGAAAGTACCTCGAAAATTATTGTTGATAGAATTGTGTAGTATTACTGCGGTGCGTTTTTCCTTTTATATCTGTGTTGGCCATTTCCGTAGAACTTTGTAGACAATTCCATGGTCAGTGTTTTTTTTTGGAAAAAAAACATTATAAAACAATAAAAATTGACAGAGATACGTGCAGGCATCATATGTGAGTCATGAAGAGTTTCGATGTAAGAAAATATATAAATGGACAGAATGACGGAAAAGAGGCACTGCTTGGAATTCGAACCGAAAATCTACTGTTCTTTCGGCCGATGACTTAAACCAGTTAGACTAGAAAGGACATATTAGTCTCCATTTAGCATTGAAGTGTACCATCATCGACGCTAATAATACGAAGATAATAACAATGGTTCATTTATTTTGACTCATCTATTAATTTGAGAATGTGTGAGAAAAAATAAAGAGGCGACGGAATCTTTAGAGCAGGCATTATCCTTTAAGTGGCTTAACTTCTAGGATTGCCTTATGTATTCTTCAATCATAAAGAGCAATTACAGACACTTAGTAATTTTATTTTTGTAGCACTTGAAAGCATTCTATTTCCTCAAGAAAGCAATATGAGAACGTGATAGAAAGAACATGGACCGGTAGGTCTTCAAATGGAACACTCATTTCAATACTTCTAAGATTCACTTTGTTCAGAGTTTTTCTATTATATGCAACTACTTCTATATTCGCCAAGTTAGTTTCTACGCTAATCAAAAGTTTACTGCTAATGGTGAAAGAAAATTCGGATATATGTATGTTGAAGTAGAATGTCCTGTTCAATTTTAGAAGGATAAACAGCATATTCCTAAATATTTACTGGTACTGTTAGAAACATTAGTAAAAGAATCTTTGATATCAAAAAGTCGCTTCCATCTATTGCCATACCTGGGGTGTGAGTATCGAAGAAGACAAAATATCTATCAATACATTGATGTTAACACCCATACCTACACTCTGCTTCGAGGCAACGCTTTATATCGCAAAGTAGCCGAATAATAGGAGTATTTCCTTCTTCTTTCTTCCTTCCTTTTATGGGAGGGTCTTCTAATATGTGAGGGTAAGGAAGTATAGTTGAATTCAGAATTCTGAGGTCTTGAGTATCTTTTTCTTTATTAAGAGCGATCAGTGTGAGAAGGATGAAGACAGAGAATTTACTGTAATTTCACCAGTATTAAGAGACTTTAGCAAAGACACAGCTTTCTTTTCTTATAGCATCAATAAGGTTCTAAATTTTCAACCTGGATTGAATCATCTTGAGATATCATCTTTGGACTAAATAGAAGAAGAACATGCCATATTGTTGCAATTAAATATAGACCATTAGAAATTATCTTTAACAGAGTTGCTATGTAAAAAGAAATTTTCGAATTGTATTCGATATGAAGATTGATTGAGTTGATACAGAAGGGAAAGCAACATGTTCATCCATCTCTGATATGCTAAGCAATGATCGTGATCTATATCTTTATTTTCTAGTTCTCACGAATTTATATTAATTATAATCACACTATATATACCATTCGGCAGTTTGTGATATGAAAATGTTGACAATTTTCAATTTTCCAATAATGGCAATACTGCTTCTTTGTATTGTTTATTCATCAACAGGACTTATTCCACAATGTGGTAGAAATAGAAATTGTTGCAAGACTGCTGCTACACTTAAAAACGCTGGCTTTACCACTAAAGAAAGAAATATTATGACAGCAATAGCCTATTATGAAAGTACTTGGGGTACACATAAGGGTCCGAATAGAAATGCAGACGGTAGTACGGATAACGGCTTATTTCAAATGAATAGTTATGCATGGTGTAGTTCATCAGGACTACAAAATGATTGTTGCTGTCCAGGAACATCTCCTAGGTGTCGAAAAAATGCAACATTACGTTTATGTCGATGCGGATGTGGCTTTAGTTGTTCAAAAGCATTATTAAGTAATGATTTAAATGCCCAATGTGCTGGAATCATGCTCGCACGACAAGGTTATAAAGCATGGGCAGGATATAATACCCATGCTGCTCTATGCAATTCATACGATATATTTAATGGGCCATGTTCCTCTGGAAGTTGCTGTTCAGATATATTTCCTGGTTCGGTTTGTTGTCCTCAATCTAATCCTCGTAAACAAGGTTGTTGCCCTTCTACACACAAAGTATGCTGCCCGGCACCTTATCAAGGCAAGTGTTGTTCAGCAGGAAGGCCTGTATGTTGTGGATTTGGTTGTTGTCCAACAGGAACACATTGCTGTGCAAATAATCAATGTTGCTCCCTAAAAAGCAGTAGCGGCCAAATATCGAGCCAAGCTGTAGCACAAGCAGCATTAGATGCTGAACATTAAACTTAATACGTCTAAATAACTATTAATCAAGAAATTTTTACCCTTTCATAAGTTTTGCCAGTAACTTCATTTTCTCAAACATATTCAAGAAAATTTATTGAACTTCCAATTCTAACATAACTATTCTAACTCAATATGCAAACTCTGATAAACTAATTATTTTCCACGTACTGATTTGTCTTTTGTGTTATATCCTTATCAGTTGTTAACATTTTTTCTATTGCTTTTTTAATTCAGTTTTATTTCTGTTTTCTACTTTGGTGGAGGTATGATATTTATCATTGAAACAAATTAGCTTTACAGTTACTGTGTCTTGTTCTAAAATACGACTAAATTCTTCAGAATCTTCTATTAACATCAATTTAAAAAAATACACATAAATGAACCTTTTTATAGATCATATGGTGGGATGTTTGAACTACAAATATTTCCTATGCACAGTTTTTACTAATTAATTTTTTTCATACGAACAAATGTTTAGGTTCAAAAGCAAGCCTCACTGACAAATAGGTTTCGGAAGGGTGAATGCTGAGCAAAAACAGCTGAGACTTCGATTGTGAAGTCTCATAAAGTCTTCTGAATTTTTTTACATATACATTCCGTGAATGGAAAATTCGGGGAAGGAATCGTCAGAAGAACAACAGACTTCAAGACTACAAGAGACTTCATAAAACTTCAAGAGACTTTGAGACTACCTGAGCACTCGAGAAATCTTATAAGTAGTATTTAAATTTCTATCCCATACAAAACACACTATCTATTAAACAAGTAACAATCGTTGGCGTGACTCGCTTGGCCCTCGACTGAACTTGTGGCTCTTTCGGTATTAGATACTGTTTTACAGCTCTCAATAAAACCAGTTTTTAAAGTTTGAAAACCAATGAATGTAAGTGTAGACCTTGATATTAGCGTCAATCTCGTTGTACACAATGGGTACGGATGTTCGTATGATGTTTTTTGTCATAAATTCATCCAATCAAACTGATGCTCACACATTCATATCCAACGAAAATCTAAATGAGCTATACTACATCAGCAGTATCCATACGTGCTCGAAAAAAAAAAGATTAGATTCAATTTTCTGAGAGGATCACGAAGCAAAACATATCTATGACACTAGCGTGAACACATACTATACTTCTTAAAAACTCTACTAGAAATCCTTATGCTTACTAGCACATCAACCGAAAATGTCGTTTGCTAGAGCATCCGCTACAAAAAGATGAGTTCAACTGAACTTCTAGGCTAAAATAAATCATATAGGATCTGATTTGTAATGGAAATGCGCGTAAGTATGAGTGTAGATGCAGGTTTTCTTTTCTATTACAACCGCATGCAAACCCAGATTCACACCGAACCACGCCGTTAAGCGCTTTTATTTTTGCTTTCCTCATCGGCTCATAATGCTTTGTGCAATCATACTGTGGGTGTAGCTGTTGGTTAAAATAAGATAGATATCCGCATTCACATCATCACCATTGAAAGATATAAACTGAAAGTGCTTGTTTTCTGGTTTCATAACGAAAGCTATTGACCTCCTTAGATGGCCTAAGTAGATAAAGCAAGTACCATTTAGTTGGGCCATCTCTTCATAGTTGTCCATAACTATTGGAACAAACTTAGAAAATCTGAAATATTACTATCGCATAATAACATTATAAACAGTTTCATCCAGTGAATTCTAGAAATGTATCTCTAATATCCATATTAATATTCAAACTTAAGTAATCATCAATAAGAAATAGCTATAACGATGAGTACTGTTAATTCACAACGAATTCCCAATCAACAATCATGGACCATCGAATTTCTATTATGTCTTAACATAGATAGCAGTACATGCCTAGCAAAAAAAGTACACAAAAATTAGATTGGTATGTGATATAGATTAATGAGAAACAACAAAAAGTCCGCTCTATAGCGTTTTATAGAGCTTGCCGGTTAATATAAGTACGTTGGGGGTGGGGTGTTTTTTAAAGATTAGATAACCTCCCGCAGCCATGACTACATCCATACAGATCCAGATCTGCCCACACCCCTACACCGATCTTACAGATTTTTATTGTATACAAAAACGTTGATATTAGATGTTCTTGGCATGAATTTCAAGAGAAACTCAACAATCATCTTCAATTCTGCTCATTTATATTCAACTTTTACAACAACACAAATCATTATTAGAATCAATAATACTATGAATTAACTCGAACCATTCATAAAATTGGTCTTTAAATCGTTCTTTCACTTTGAACATATCAAAAAAAGAAAATAACTTTATCAAATATTTTCTTATTGATACTACATAGAAGTAAAATATGTCGTACTCTGTCGGTGACATTTGTCGAAAAAAAAGGAATGAAACACATGTATTCTTATGACAGATTCAACAAACTTGAGAGAATTGTAACAAGTTATGTCGTTATTTCTCTTGTTCTAAAGACTATGTAAGTGATAACGAGTGTATTTTTTCATGGTCACTTTCTAAATAAAGCTTAAAATTCCAAAGTGCATAGTTTTCTCTTTTGGAGTTTGCATATTTGTTCAAGATTTTGCAAAGCATAGAAGACGTTTTAGCTTGGCATTTCATGCATATAAATATTTGATTAATAACATATTTTGCAAAGCGATTCAGTATGTGTGACAGAATAAATCTTCCTTTGTTACTTGTTGGTCTATTGGTATTGGTGATTTCTATCACTGCTAGTGAATTATCAAAACACGACGAGTAGGTTCATAAATCTGTAAACGGCACAAAATGCTCCGAAAATATATTTTTTATCGAGCTGACTGAAGACGAGCTACAGAGAGTATGCACTGTTGGAAAAATCAAGAATGCAAAAGAGGATTGTTTTGTCTCTCATCCAAAATATGAGAAAAAGTATCTTAGAACACATGACTCGTTAGATCTATATAAAATATGGATTACTTTGTGTTCACATTTCATCTTGTTTTATTTACCAAAAAAATAAATTCTAATATCGATTACTTATTTTCTATGTTAGAGGTGAAGAAGGCTTTAAAAATTCAAGTTTGAAAAAATCTCATAGTAATGAAAAGCAAACTATGTAACTTATTGATCTGATTAACGTTTTTATGGCGTCTTGTAAAAAGATGTAGCGGAATTCAGTATGTTCGGAACATTTTAAAGTACTCTTACTCTATCCCCTTCATATGCTTCCAAAGACTTGCTATGTATTTCTCAACAAGTTAAAAATTACAACTTTTTTCTTTTCTATTTTTCTGACGTATCATTAAGCCAGAATGAAGGATGTTATTGTCAATTCTGACCGAGGGGAAAATGGTAGAATTAGACATATATTCTGTAGAAATTCGATGAAAACTAAATAGTTTTGTAAACCGAGATTCCTTCAGCATCCGATCAGGTTGAGTTTCACCTGAGAACGGTAATTTGCTATTCATTTGTTCTGTATTCTTTGATAGATTCGACGATTTGTTGAGTAATGCAATGCATCAACAAATCATCATTACATTCAACAGTGATTTGACGACAATCCATCCAGCTCTGATACGTAAAGGACGTTTGATTGCAAGCTATGGATTCAAAAAGTTAGGCCTCGAGTGTTTAAAGAAGCTGTAAGATAACTTAGACTTTGGGATTAATGCTATCACTGAACCAATGACTCTAGCCGAAATCGATAATCAAGGTAAAAGGATGCAGAATCGATGGCATCGCTTCGAACAAGTACGATTAAACGAACAGCGAACACAGTTGCAGCAAATTATGAAGAGATGTAAATCGTCAGATTTTTCACTATTGTTTCGAACGAAATAAAAGTCATTGATAAGAAGACCTTTCAATCCTTTTTTCTGTCTATATTTGTTCTTGAATCAAAAACAAACTAGAAAGCAATGCGATGTGTTTCGTTTCAAGTATCATTCACAAAACATGCCTATGAAATAATATGTGCATTGTACAAATTTTTCTTCCATATGGACAATTGACATCTCTTGTACTCGCACACGTTGCCGTCGATAAATTATCTACCAATCGGCCTTATAATCATTGTGCTCTATTGAACTTGTAGCAACAAAGGTTGACTACATTTTGACGCCAATTAGATGCCTGTATCATTAGATTTAAGGGGGAGGGGGGATCTGAAATATACAGAGGTTTACCTTTTGATCTTTCATATAGTCAAATTTGTAGCTTAAATGAAGAGTATCTCCCATGTATTACGTCCCGTGTTTCGGAAGGTAAATAATAATCGTAAAAGTGTCGTAAAGTTGCAATGATAAACTTGTATATCAAACGTGTAATTGCAAGATCGCAGATACAAATAAAATCTAGTATGTCTCATTAGAATGACCCTTTCATGAGTCGTCTGATTTGCGATCACATGCATTTATTGCTAAACAAGTCAATAAATACGTAGTATAGTTAAATATCTGTAGAAATCTGCTAGATATTTTGTTGATCGAAATGAACATCACAGTCAATCACGATGCGGAAAAAAGTTAGCTCACATCTAAAACCATGTCATTTCATTTCTGAAAATAATTAAAAAATGATTATGGACATTCTTCTTATGATTTCTTCAAAAGAAGAAAAACAATTCCTTATCAGTATCATGGTATGCTTTTCTATCGTTTCAGTTGTTGTCATCGTCAGTAATAACATGAGAGGTTTACCTCTATGTATACATACATCTTATCAATGACATAAAATAAAACAAAAAAAAAAGAAAATAAGTCAGTATAACGCATAAACATCATAGACGCAAACGAGTTTAATCTTCGAGCAAAAATGGCTTCCACAGCTTCTGCGATCGAAAAATTAAAAGGTACATGGGACTATATTAATGGTGAGAATTTCGATGAATACTTAAAGGAAATGGGTAAGACAGTGAAGACTAATAGTTGTAGTTATCTAGCCAAATATTTCACTGTTACTTTTTAGGTATTTCATGGGTAGTACGTCAAGCTGCAAAAGCTGTCAAGACGGAAAAAATGATTATCAGTGTCAATGATAATGGTCGATG